TGACTTTGCTGACCTCTGTAGGTCAAACGGCTGGGAGTGCCACCAAATGACTTGGACTGTGGATTGGGCATGTCATGGCCTACATTGTGTGCGAGTTTCAGCTTGATCGGAGGTGTCCCGAATGTGGGCTGAATCCGGGCTGCGACGTATTGGGTGTCGTTTATTTGCACATTTTGACCTGCCGAGGTCAAACGGGGTCACATATCGAAAAGCGGTTTTTAAGGAAAGTTACTACGGTCTATGGGCTACCCGATAAAGTGCTTTGATTTGGAACTCGGTCAATCCGTCTACTCGAAAACTGCTGTGCAATTATATTTTCGACATAGCCCACAAATGACCTTAGGTCATCGCATGACCTTGAGAGGTCAAATGAGTGTTGGGAAAGTAAGATTAGATGCTGGCGAGTCGATTGGTGCCATTTTTAGCGCTCTAGCTCTACTGGGTGGGCCACAATCTGCTGTGCAAATTTGGGCCACGTGACCTTTGCTGACCTCTGTAGGTCAAACGGCTGGGAGTGCCACCGAATGACTTGGACTGTGGATTGGGCATGTCATGGCCTACATTGTGTGCGAGTTTCAGCTTGACCGGAGGTGTCCCGAATGTGGGCTGAATCCGGGCTGCGACGTATTGAGTGTCGTTTATTTGCACATTTTGACCTGCCGAGGTCAAACGGGGTCATATATCGAAAAGCGGTTTTTAAGGAAAGTTACTAAAGCCTATGGGCTACCCGATGATGTGCTTTGATTTGGAATTCGGTCAATCCATCTACTCGAAAACTGCTGTGCAAGTGTTTTTTCGACATAGCCCACAAATGACCTTAGGTCATCGCATGACTTTGAGAGGTCAAATGAGTGTTGGGAAAGTAAAATTAGATGCTGGCGAGTCGATTGGTGCCATTTTTAGCGCTCTACCTCTACTGGGTGGGCCACAATCTGCTGTGCAAATTTGGGCCACGTGACCTTTGCTGACCTCTGTAGGTCAAACGGCCGGGAATGCCACCGAATGACATGGACTGTGGATTGGGCATGTCATGGCCTACATTGTGTGCGAGTTTCAGCTTGATCGGAGGTGTCCCGAATCTGGGCTGAATCCGGGCTGCGACGTATTGGGTGTCGTTTATTTGCACATTTTGACCTGCCGAGGTCAAACGGGGTCACATATCGAAAAGCAGTTTTTAAGGAAAGTTACTACGGCCTATGGGCTACCCGATGATGTGCTTTGATTTGGAATTCGGTCAATCCATCTACTCGAAAACTGCTGTGCAAGTGTATTTTCGACATAGCCCACAAATGACCTTAGGTCATCGCATGACCTTGAGAGGTCAAATGAGTGTTGGGAAAGTAAGATTGGATGCTGGCGAGTCGATTGGTGCCATTTTTAGCGCTCTAGCTCTACTGGGTGGGCCACAATCTGCTGTGCAAATTTGGGCCTCGTGACCTTTGCTGACCTCTGTAGGTCAAACGGCTGGGAGTGCCACCGAATGACTTGGACTGTGGATTGGGCATGTCATGGCCTACATTGTGTGCGAGTTTCAGCTTGATCGGAGGTGTCCCGAATCTGGGCTGAATCCGGGCTGCGACGTATTGAGTATCGTTTATTTGCACATTTTGACCTGCCGAGGTCAAACGGGTCACATATCGAAAAGCAGTTTTTAAGGAAAGTTACTACGGCCTATGGGCTACCCGTTGATTTGCTTTGAATTGGAATTCGGTCAATCCATCTACTCGAAAACTGCTGTGCAAGTGTATTTTCGACATAGCCCACAAATGACCTTAGGTCATCGCATGACCTTGAGAGGTCAAATGGGTGTTGGGAAAGTAAGATTAGATGCTGGCGAGTCGATTGGTGCCATTTTTAGCGCTCTAGCTCTACTGGGTGGGCCACAATCTGCTGTGCAAATTTGGGCCACGTGACCTTTGCTGACCTCTGTAGGCCAAACGGCTGGGAGTGCCACCGAATGACTTGGACTGTGGATTGGGCATGTCATGGCCTACATTGTGTTCGAGTTTCAGCTTGATCGGAGGTGTCCCGAATCTGGGCTGAATCCGGGCTGCGACGTATTGGGTGTCGTTTATTTGCACATTTTGACCTGCCGAGGTCAAACGGGGTCATATATCGAAAAGCAGTTTTTAAGGAAAGTTACTAAAGCCTATGGGCTACCCGATGATGTGCTTTGATTTGGAATTCGGTCAATCCATCTACTCGAAAACTGCTGTGCAAGTGTTTTTTCGACATAGCCCACAAATGACCTTAGGTCATCGCATGACCTTGAGAGGTCAAATGAGTGTTGGGAAAGTAAAATTAGATGCTGGCGAGTCGATTGGTGCCATTTTTAGCGCTCTACCTCTACTGGGTGGGCCACAATCTGCTGTGCAAATTTGGGCCACGTGACCTTTGCTGACCTCTGTAGGTCAAACGGCCGGGAATGCCACCGAATGACTTGGACTGTGGATTGGGCATGTCATGGCCTACATTGTGTGCGAGTTTCAGCTTGATCGGAGGTGTCCCGAATCTGGGCTGAATCCGGGCTGCGACGTATTGGGTGTCGTTTATTTGCACATTTTGACCTGCCGAGGTCAAACGGGGTCACATATCGAAAAGCGGTTTTTAAGGAAAGTTACTACGGCCTATGGGCCGTAGTAAGATGATGTGCTTTGATTTGGAATTCGGTCAATCCATCTACTCGAAAACTGCTGTGCAAGTGTATTTTCGACATAGCCCACAAATGACCTTAGGTCATCGCATGACCTTGAGAGGTCAAATGAGTGTTGGGAAAGTAAGATTGGATGTTGGCGAGTCGATTGGTGCCATTTTTAGCGCTTTAGCTCTACTGGGTGGGCCACAATCTGCTGTGCAAATTTGGGCCACGTGACCTTTGCTGACCTCTGTAGGCCAAACGGCTGGGAGTGCCACCGAATGACTTGGACTGTGGATTGGGCATGTCATGGCCTACATTGTGTTCGAGTTTCAGCTTGATCGGAGGTGTCCCGAATCTGGGCTGAATCCGGGCTGCGACGTATTGGGTGTCGTTTATTTGCACATTTTGACCTGCCGAGGTCAAACGGGGTCAAATATCGAAAAGCAGTTTTGAAGGAAAGTTACTACGGTCTATGGGCTACCCGATGATGTGCTTTGATTTGGAATTCGGTCAATCCGTCTACTCGAAAACTGCTGTGCAATTGTATTTTCGACATAGCCCACAAATGACCTTAGGTCATGGCATGACCTTGAGAGGTCAAATGAGTGTTGGGAAAGTAAGATTAGATGCTGGCGAGTCGACTGGTGCCATTTTTAGCGCTCTAGCTCTACTGGGTGGGCCACAATCTGCTGTGCAAATTTGGGCCACGTGACCTTTGCTGACCTCTGTAGGTCAAACGGCTGGGAGTGCCACCGAATGACTTGGACTGTGGATTGGGCATGTCATGGCCTACATTGTGTGCGAGTTTCAGCTTGATCGGAGGTGTCCCGAATCTGGGCTGAATCCGGGCTGAATCTGGGCTGAATATGGGCTGTCTTGACGGACATTATTTTGGTACTTACACTGATAACAGCAGTCTCCATCTTTGAGAATGCAAGCATTCAATAGCTTCGATCCCGTAACCTTGGACCAAACGACTTTTTTAATGAGACGTTCATATGCCATTTTAATCCAAAACGGGTCCCGTGATTTTCGACATAGCTGCAGTGCGTGACAAAATCTGTTGCTTCCGGAGCCAGACAAAGTGGCCACATCACAAAGCTATCACGCTTTGCTCCTACATATGAAAACCCACATCGCACACGGGTGCCCTGAAGGCTGACGTCAACTGATGGTCAGAGTATAATCCGCTTTCGGTTAGTGTTTTTACGGGTGGCCGGTGTACTGTCGGCCGGGCTGTCGCCTCTGGTTTAGATACGACCGGGGCGCGCTGGCCGTTCGGCGTCACCACCATCTGTGTCCCGCGCCGCGCCGCCGCCGGCAGCGCTCTTATTGGATTCGCCGCCGGCACTCGGACATTGCCGCCGCCGACGGGCCGCGCAGCCACATCGAAACGCCGCGCCGCAAATAGCACGGCCGCGCCCGGTTCGGCGCACTGGCCGCGATATGAGCTCGTTCTGTTTGGGCTGTCAGTGGACGGGATAATCACTGGCACATGACTGTACAATCATATTCAATAACCTGGCCCTTATATAAACTTGGATTTCACGATATGGCGATTGGGAAGGTAATGTGACAACATTGTAACAAGAAACAGATGCTGTTATGCCTACACTACAGGTCCGATGTGACATTTTGCTGGAGCATGGCGCCACAGTGAGCGTTTTGCTCTCCGTTCCTACTACGCATCAGTTGCCTTCGTGCAGTGCGTTTGGGTCATTAAACATTTAACATTTATTTTTAATGCCGAGCTTCAGCGTTTTGTTAGAAGAGCCTCTAAGCCTAATAAACAATATGTTACGCATAAAGGGCCCAATTTCATTTCTCCTTGCATCTCTTTCCACCATTCTGGTTACCTATCTTCGAGTACCTATTAGCCAACATCCAGCGTGCCATGTGTAGATAAACTGTGCCGCACTACACTTGTGTACTGCGGCGCAGCCTACCGCCAACGCCGCCCTGTCAGCTTCGCTCTGAGACGGATATTTGGTCAACGTTGGTGAAACCATATATGATATGACAACAAGTCCCGACGATATTTCACAGCAGTAACTAAGCCTAATCCCTGTTTATTTAAAGCCACGTATTACACACATTATTAAAAAGTTTGTTTTCGTTTATCTGTTGGGTGATTTAGTGACCATTGACTATCGAAGGAGGTAGGTAGGCCTATTTCCGCACCGTTTGTGCACTATTTCAAATACTAACTTATTACGAACTTTTGAGAAAATTGACGCTAGTTATGCTATCGTGATCAGAGGCCAGAGTAGGACAGATTAAAACAACTGACTTCACCTGAGTGCTAAATCTTTAGCACGCTCGTCGCTCAAAGCTCGAAATCACAACGCATTTTTCGTTCCAGAAATCGGTGATGCTGCTACTGGCCTTCTGTCGTCCGGCGCTACCGCTTCTGGTTCTTCTGCTGGTCTCCCACTGTGTCGCTATCAGGCAGCCGGAGGTCAGGGGTACCGACCCAGGCACTCCTGCTGCTGAAGCTGCCATCACACCTCGGCTAGTCTCCACAGACGCAGACAGACAGTCCGGAGGAGCAGAGAGTCCACCCGACATCCCTCAGCTGGCCGCCCCACAGTCTGGCGAAAGTGTCGTTCGAAGGAAGCGAGAAGGGTCAGATCTGAACGCACCCACTAGAAAGCGGAGTCACTGCAGTCAGGATCTGGGTGAGCGGCCACAGCGCTATTCGTTCGGCATCGGCAAGCGGACGCCTTACGCCTTTGGACTCGGTAGAAGAGGACCGTACTCATTCGGACTCGGAAAACGAGCATCTTATTCGTTCGGGCTTGGAAAACGGACGCCGTACAGCTTCGGCCTCGGAAAGCGACGGCCCTACAGTTTCGGTCTGGGCAAGCGCCGACCGTACGGTTTCGGCCTGGGGAAGCGTTCGTGGGGCTCCTGGTTTGACGGGCCGACAACGAGGGACCTGCTGAAGCGGCCGAGCTACAGTTTTGGTCTGGGGAAGCGCGGCGCCCCGCTCAGCCACCTCTGGGAGACGGAGTCGCTGCCGGACGGTGGGCCGCTGCCCGCGCCGGCGGTGGAGGGGGCTGCTGAGCCGATGACGGCCCTGACGGGCGCGGGCGGCTGCCGGGAGCTGCAGAAGCTGGGCCGGGGCCGGGGCCGGGCGGAGCTCATCGGTCCCCTCCCCGGCGCAGAGCAGCGGCCCGGGGAGGGCGTTCCGGTGATATAAGCGGAGACATCACGACGGGTGGCTGTCACAACTCGCAGGACACATGCGATAAATTAATGCAATTTATCGGTCAACACGACTGCTGTATAAAAGATCGAGCTTTGACACACTAACTGAAGTGCAAGACGGCCGTTAAAGTGAATCAGTATCACTTATAATTCACTTGTATAGCCACTTAGATAAGTACCTATGTAATGTATGTAGCAGGTACTTGCATATCTTGTTTTGTGCGTTTGAATGTATTTGGATATTATCATTATTATCGTAGGCATTTTTTCGTAGTTTTGCCGGTATCATTACATTCTGGTTATCCAGGGACCTTATCCTTTTGTATCCTATTTTCAGGATGTTTCGATGTCATGTTTTACATTCAAAATGTTTATAGCGTTGTTTAGTATGGGAACGTTCTCCCTTGAGGACTTTATACTCATCAATCAGCAGTTCGTTTTACTGGGATTCGAAGAAATTTTGTCGGAATTCATGAATATTGTATACCGTATACTTCATGTATTATTGTATACTACATGTGTATTGTGTATACCGTATTACGTATACTTATAGGTACCTATGCCTACCTAAAAAGTTGCTGAGATTCGGCCAGCTGAGTTTTCAACCAGACGCAGGTGTAAAGGTATATTTGATAATGTATGTATGTGCCAAGTCGGATCATGCCTTTCTTATATTTGTGTATCTCATATTATGTTTTCAACCTTGCTGAAAATGGCCGCATTGCAACTTCCTTTAATACAGCTAAACTACTACAAATCATGGTCTGATTTTACCCAATACCAGCAGCCTTTTATAGAACTTTTAATGCCTACAAATGCTGCGATTGGATTGGGTATGCAGCTGGAACAGACTGTCATTGGCAAACCAAGTATTTCGACAGTCGACGGACATATCAGTTTTCTACATACTACATACGGCCGAGGGGAGGGCCTACCTCACCGTTTCACCCAGCCTCCCCCTAGATAAGCTGGAGCCTTGCGGAAAAAGTGGAGTCTTGCGGAAAAAGTGAGCGCGTGATTATGAGAAGCACCGACTGATACCCAATTTTAATCTCTCACATCAACCAGCGAGCTCTCAGGTCAGATCAAATGCCTCAAAATAGGGGTCCATTTTTGTGAGACACCTTGCCAAAATAGTCGCATATCCGCGAGAGACTGTCAGAGGCCATTTTAGGGCTCTGTGTGTCTGGCGTGAGGCCCGAGGAGACTGCCTCGGGCCCTATACCATTTTTTCACATGGAATTTGGAACCAAAAAAGTATTGTTTTGGATTGAACCTAGACTAGCTCACAAATCAGGATCTTTACGGCCCAACGATCACCTAAGGCAAAGATGTTCCATTTCTCGTTCTGAAATAATTCCCTTACGCAAGAATGCTTCCCTTACGGAAGAATGCCAAGAATGCAGCCACCTGTGGCAGAAACCAATCGTCAGTCAAGCAGCAAGCCCTGCATGCAGTTGGTCAGAGCCAAGGGTCGGAGCTAGGTAGGTGATATCTTGGTTCTTGCTTCTTGATGTAGTATGATTAGTAAATGTGTGTAGGTTATTACCTTCGGCGGCAAACACATTGAAGTAAAGTCATATGGCCAAACACCATCAAACCTCTGCCTTCTATACCATTTCCTAAAATCGCCACTATTTTGGGACTCTCCAACGCAACTCGCTGTCCAGACGTGAATATGCTCTACCATTGTAACTGTTCTTTTTAATAAGGGGTCGCTATTCATATGATAAAAATCAAATTCGCCGAGTACCTTCAACGCAAATGGGACCAACATCATGCTGCATATATTTATGCGATCAAGCGAGAACTTAGAACATGGGTCACATGTAACCAACCAGACAGGATACGCGAGGTGAGCCCATGGCCAGATTGAGGTGTGGTCATACCCGCCTCACCCATGGCCACCTTTTTGATATAGGATGGGGCCTCCGATTTGCCACACCTGTGACACATACATCTCCGTAGAGCACATTTCAATCGCATGCACGGCATTGCATCACGAGCGAAGACACACCACTAACTATATCTTGCGGCAAACACCTTAAAAAGACCTTCCGACTCTTCTCGGGGACGACACAACATTGACAAACCTGGTACTTGATTTCGTCCTAACATCACCTTACTCTGAGCTACCTACTTTAACGGCCTTGACTTAACTCCTTGACTTGACTCCTTAACGGCACCCGTCTCGCTACCACTAGGCTGACTTGGGATAGGGGATGGGACGATGGCCGATGGGTCGAGTTTTTCGCTGGCACCGACCGAAACACAGAGCTTCGGCGGCAGACGGGTTTTCTCCAGCCGCGGGAGCAGGCCCTTAGAGGCTTTGCGGCCCAGCGAGCTACACCAGCGGCGCCCACTCCCTGCCACTGATGCCAGTGGCCTCTACACTGGGGTTAAATCTGCGGCAACAGACATACCCACCCTGTTTTCCCGACGCAAACCAGCCGCTGATCTGGGGATGGGGTCGGGAACTGTCCAGCTGGGTGAATGGCAATGCACCCTGCACAGCCGTCACAATCTATAGCAGCGGTCTGATACTCCCAATCTGCACACACCGACTGCTGATTGCCTGAACCATATCACCGAGGCCGACGACCAATAGGACGGCCGGTTTCTTTTGCGCGGCGTAGTTCAAGTTAGGCCGCCGCTCTCCTCGCGAGGCTAATAACGTAAGTTGAGGCCACTAAAAAAACAAATATTTCCTTAACTTCCTTGAAAATATCTATTTATTTAGTTTAATAACGTTTAAAGCAAAACTCATAGAACTATTGCAAAAACCTTTTTTAAGCAGCGTTATATATTTTTCCTTTAACATGCCTTTTCTAAATTTAATCATTTAGTGGACACTTTCCTCAGTCATATTGAATCGCATAAGCTGCGCGTATGTGACAAAAGATGCGCAAGAACTGATTGGCAAATTATTGTTACCGCCAATATTATGACCCGTGCCGCATTGTGTATTTATTTATCGCCTTGCTTCAGCATATGGATACTTGCCATTTTACATTTCCAGTTTCAAGATGACTGATTTTCTATTTGGTTCTTCAAAACTGCCTCTAGAAATAAAACTGCTGCATTCTGCAGAAAGAAGCATATCAGAGACTGACTTGAAAACATTGCTTGAAGGTGAGTAGTTTTATGGAATATGGTTTGTAGCGTTTGTAGCTCAGCACGATTGAGTCAAAATGCTCAGAACATTTTGCAGGAATTCAGTTCGTTTTATATGCTATGTAGTAGTATGCATCTTGCTCTGTGAATGTGATTATGCAATAGTTTTAGGGTGATTGGTTTGGATGGTGGAAGATGAGGTGTTGACCTATGTTTGAGTCAAGGCCATAGGCCCATAGGTATATACCAAGGTTTGAGTTTTATTTTGGACAGGAATCTCAGTATTTTTTCATGTTTACCTACTCTTGGTATGCTGCATGTATTGAATCAATGCCATCAATTTTCTATAGCTGTAAATTCCCATAATGATATATCTGTCAATGACAGACGAGGGGTGGACGTCAAGAAAAGCATCGTTACCTTTTGCTGCTAATGAATAATGATGTGGTTGACGACTGACGTGTAGATTTCGTTTTGTCATAGGGGCAATATATTAATCTCAACATTTTCCATTCACTGATGGCATACTGACTCCATGGCCCATGCTCCATTTGCTGCTGGTGGTTTATCCCAGTCTCTGTCTCTACCCTTCCCTTGCCCCCTAACTGGCCTGTCAGCCCCTGGCCCACTGACATATCCATCCCCAGCCGCCACGCTGCACCTGGCTGGTCATCAGGAGGAGGCCCGTCGCCGGTACGAAGCAGTGCCCGGCCGGCCGGCAGCTGTCTACGGCGGCCTTATCAGCCTGCTGAGGGCCGGCCGCGCGCTGCCTCCGGCCCGCCGCCGCGCCGACACACTCACAGACGCCCTCCGGCGCTACAGGTCGGTCAGAGAGCAGCCTGGGACACATCCAATGTGATGTGGTTGTCATGTGTAGGTATTTGAAATCAACACATCCAATTTCATTGGTCGTGACCTCTCTGCTCCTACCTTTCTCTCAGAGTACCAGACAGCTGGCACTCAGCGCTGTTGGCAGCGATGTGTGCCTCTCCTGAGCCGCCGTCTCCGGCCGGCCCCGTCCAGTGGACTCTGGATGTCATCATCTCAGACAGGTCAGCGAACGGGGCAGGGTGGCAGAAGGGGGGAGGGGTGCTCATTTCTTAGTGCTCTGTTGGGTAGTGTGTGAAATTGACAGTCTGTAGTCCTTTGCGGTAGTGGATGTGCCTGCATAGTATTTTGCTTCATCGCTAGTTTTAGTTGCGTGCTGTTGCTTATATCTAGCTAGTGCCTACTGCTTGTAACTATTTTGGTATGCTTAGTGGCCTTTCGACTCGTTACGTTTATTGGATGAACGCTATGGAAATATTCTCCTCGACACTATAAAATTGTTTGGCTGGTCAGCCGTCATTGTTTCCGTTCCGTATTTAGTTGTAGCGAGCTCCGTTTGGTGATGGTTGTTTTCGAACTTGACGGTGGCGGCTGGTTGTCTTTAGTTGTCTTTAGCCCATAGTTGTCTTTAATCACTAAGAAAATGCACGGCGTCTGAGCATTCGTCACGTTCTGAAGATGGAATATGGGCTTTGTTCGTCGGAGCTGAGCAACTAGATAATATGGTGGAGGCATTTCTGTTTAAAAACATTTTCGTGTCTAGTATGTTTACCAATGTATCGATGCTGCCGCAGTCCTTATTTCATCATCTAAGCTCAGATGGCGTTTCTTTTACCAAATGTGCAGAAGCCCTCTGGGAATTTTGCGTTGATACCGGATGGGACGTTTAGTGTTGCCTATCAATATATCGTATGGTTATTATTTAACCCAGTTTATGTAACAAAGTCCAGCAATATGCGTGCTCCTTGAGCCATTTTCATACCGACAGAATTATTCAGCTCTCATGAAAAACGTAATGTTAAAACAAAGCTAAGTCGAACACTTACCATGCTGGAAGGCTTACGCGAAGGGGCACGCGTAACGCTGATGGGTGTTATCCATCTGCTTAATCTTTTTTTATCTCACTGATAGGCCGCTTTTCATCCATTGTTTTCTCAGTCGATGACATGCCTTTCAGTGAGCGAGGACAAGTTTTGGAACCATCTGTGGGGCTGACTATACCGAACGCTGCTGGTGGCGGCACCTCTCTGCAACTACCGAAAGCTCAGTTTCTGCGACTTCGCCGTGAGATGGCAGTGGCGCGCCGTGAGGTGGACAACGTCCAGGCCAAATTCGCATCTCGGGTTAGCTGATAAAGTGGATGATTTTTGGTGACTTGCTTTCCCTCGAAATGTAAGAAAACATATGCACCACGAGGACTGGGTTTCGACCAAGGTGCCTTATCAGTTATCACCCTTGCATAACTGAATGATGACTGGTGCAGGATTGCCGGCGCCAATGTGTTGTAACTTATATCATAGCTCTAGTGGAGAGAATTTCGTGTGCTGTATGAACTGATGTGCAATTTATTCGTGTACTGCGTGCCTTGAGCGAGCACCCTCGCGTAATCACATAATATTGCGACCGTATCTCGCGAATGTGATGCTTTTTGTGTCCACTTTGTATCATTCCATTGCTGTATGAACGATTAGTGCGTTCCTATAATTGCCTCTTCCATCATTTTGGTATTATCTTATTTACCCAGTCGAATTGCTTCTAGTTGTAACTCTTCTTTCTTGCAACGAGGTTTCGAAACGTCCGGATTTAAAGTGCCCACCCGTTGGCCCGTTACTTTTGTATCACCAGGAAATTAAGAAGTTTTATCGCGATCGAAACTACAGTACATTCGACCAGTTGGAGCCATATGGTCAGTAGCTATATAGTATATTTGCAAATTTCGTTACTTCAAAATTTTGCTTGTTTTTGTCGATAGGATCAATGTGATATACCTACTCCATGTTTGATCTATTATTTCCGTATAAATAAAATATAATGTTTGCTGTAACATTGGTCAGTGTCATTTTAACGACATCCTTCTTCAACGACACTTGGGATGTATTTATAGATATTTTCTCGACATCTTGTTAGCGCTCTTCCCAGACCCAGAACACTGAAAAGATCTTTATGAGGTACAAGCCGAGGTGTACCAGTGTTCTACCGGTATGCGTAATGTTATTTATGCGATAAATAGCGCAGAACCCATGTCGGGAGTCATGTGTGAAAAACGCTAAGAAAGGTTACTTTGTGTTCCGCATAGGCATTTAATGGGACTGTTCAGGTTCATATTACTCAAATAAAATATTTCAATGTGTGAGCTTGTCACATTTATCTCACAGTGAGAACTGTAGTAAAATTATCTCCGTGGTCCCTGTAGAACAAAACGGATGTTAGAAGGAATGATCCTGTAACTTTCAGGTTATCATGCTCATTGCACAATGCGCACGTCTGGTTTGCTCCATTTTCCATACAGTGCATCGGGGTTATAAAGGGTCTCTTTTGCGAAAACGTGAAGGTTATGTAGACTAAAGGCCTCTATATTTAAGCGCGTATTGAACCAGTCATAGCTTTCGGTGAACGTTTATTGAAAGTGAACTAAGCGTAGAAAATATGCGATGGTTGTCCATTTTTCGGACTGTGATGTGTGTTCTCAAAACGGTTAGTTACATAATTTGTATTCTACATATTAATAGCCTGTACCTACAACAGTTGCTAAATAAATAGAGGACTAGAATATCACAGAGTGCGAGCGGTTTAGAAAACCGGCAGATACAAGAGTCCGATGATGAATAAAAAACACGACATGTGCAGACAAGACAATTCTACTGTTCAGCAAACTTCCATTAACTCCGAGAGTGTGCCTATAGTTCAGAAACTCCTTATTTTCCACGACATTATCGGTTATTGGCGTCAGGCATACTGCGGCATCACGATCTCGGTGGCTGGCGCGGTGGTGGCCATCCCCTCGCCGTCTCCGCCCGCGGTCGGCCTCTTCTTCCGTCGTCGGCGACGGCGCAGACAGCAGGTTCCGGTGCCGTCCTCGTCCCCTCCGACCCGACAGCGGCGGCGTCTCCGACGGCGCTTCACATCCCGTCCGCCGTCAGCCTCTCCGTCTCCGTCTTCGCCCATCTCTCCGTCTCCGTCCATCTCACCGTCTCCGTCTTCGTCCTCCTCTCTGTCTCCGTCTTCGTCTTCATCTCCTACGTCTCCGTCCATGTCCTCGTCTCCGTCTTCGGTGTCCATCTCAGCTCCGACTACCAGGGTGGCGTCAGGGTCGGTCTGTGCCGCCTGTCCTCCCATGGAGCCGTCACCCCCATCGGATTGTGACGGCGTCAGGTCGCTCCCTGAAGCAGCCTCGCCTCTCTGGCTGCTGGAGTTTTCACCACCAGGAGCAGGGCCGTCCCCGTCTCTGCCTGTAGTGCTTCCCACGCTTCCCCCGCCTGTAGCGCCAGCTCCGCCGCCTCCTCCTGTATTTTCAGAGGTGGCGAGCGATTCCTGAGCCGCCTCTGTGGGCAGCGGGAGCGGCTGCTCGGCTGTGGCAGACGCCTGCGTAGTGGCAGCGGTAGTTGTAGTGGTAGTTGTAGTGGTAGTGGTAGTGGTAGAAGTCTTGGCAGCGTTCTGTTTTTTACTCAGTTTGATGAGATCTGTGATGGATAACGGCTGGGGCTGTGGGCAGAAAGAAATGGATCAACTGGGGCGACTGACAATTAGCCTGTGTAGATCAGCGACTATCACGATACCATTTTTACAGCGATCACAAATAAGTTGGCTGCCGTTCTGGAAGAGGAGCACTGATGTACCCTCTATTTTCAATTACAGTAATTGGTGTGACTGAGTACTTACTCTATTTTCATGCGCAGATGCGCCCTTTAGTCCATCTCAGTTTAGCTATGTCAGTAATAATCAGGCCGATAGACATTGATGGCAAAGAACGAGATTGTGGGACACGACAGAGATAGAGTTAATTCGAAATCAGTTGCTTTCGGGTTCGGCGAATGATGCATTTAATTTCTGTGCCATTTATAGTTACCAGACCATGGTCGCAATTTGTGGTTCTGTCGACGTTAAAAATTGACAGAAAAGCTTTGTTACACAAATTTTCAGATGATATAACTTTTTGAATCATGCGAAAGCAAAAGATGAACAGAAATCATGTAACATAGACCTCTGTACACCTCTGTACAGAGGTCTATGCATGTAACTAGGGGAGAGCGGGGCCAGTTGAACCACTTTTTATATATTGACATGCACAGCGAGATCTAGTTGTCATATCGAAAAATGCACAATGCCATGAAAAAATATGCTCTTTCGGCTTCATTTTAAGATATGTAAAATTATGTTTCAAACATATTTTGGTGCCAAACGCATGCTTATAAAACAGCACTACGCCCGTTTCAAATGACCCCGATGCGAGGGTCAATTGAACCAGCCCATGGGGTCAATTGCACCTATCCTTAACAATGGGATGTTTTCCTCTTTAAGGCCACTTTCTTAAGGAGATATTTTGTCCGGTTTACTTTTCCAAATGCTACATTCAATAGGTCGTTGGAAAGCTAAAAGTGCAAAGTTCCTCATAATAGGTGACATAAAGTACATAGACTATGGTAAAATGGGCGGATGAGGATAATGAGAAATATCTCAGGCTATAGTGTGCTTTCAAGCAAAAGGCTGGAGAAAAAGAGGTAAAAAAATGAGCTCTATTAATCTACTATTTCAGTTTAAAAGCTCATTTCAAAGGTGGACTATTTCCTTTAATGTTTACAGCCCCTGAACAATAACCATTGCAAAGGTCACCGGGGTCCATTGAAACGGCCTGTGGCCCTGTTTCAACTGACCCTCAGAGAAGCGTTTCAATTGACCCCATCCGCTCCCGCCATCTCGCACGCGCCGTAAAGCACATGTCAAACGAGCTGGAGGGACGACATCATGCTGAATGAAGGGCCAAATAAGGTGTTATTCCGGAGCCAGGAGTTCTTCTTTCAGCAAACAAAGGTATATGAGATATCACAAAATATTCATAAAAACGATTTCTCCCAAACGCCCCTCAAAAACACAAAAACAAGTGTCAAATCAAAATTACCGTCCGTTTGCCGCCCAAACGCCGTTGACAAAGGAAGTGGTCGAGCGCGGATGCGCAGTGGTGTCGGCAACGCCATATGTTGCATACTGTTGAAAATAAAGTCATGTTTCATCTGACCCCGTGTTTCAACTGGCCCCGCTCTCCCCTATTCCTTATGCGCGGCCTGGGCCACATAACCCCTGTTCTGCTGAAACCCTTTCGGCTTCACCGACTTACCGCGCTGGTGACGGGTCTGGCGACGAGCGCGATGGTGCCGAGCACCACCAGAGCCAGACACAACCTCATGGTGCTGGTGTCGAGCGAACACTGCGGCCGGTGGCGGTCGGGACGGACCGACCAGCCCTCTCGCTTCCCATCCAGTCCCCCGCCGCCCTCAGCCATCAACAACCCACCACCCCCACCGCCATCGAAACTCCGCCCGGGGGGCCCGGAGGTCGTCATCGTGCATGTCTGGCTACCGGCGGCAGGTGGTCGCGGTGACGGTCACTGGCGGAAGCTGGATATCGGGGATGGGAGGAGGGAGAGGTGGTGAACTGGTCAGACTTGGACGCTTTCTCCGCCCTGGATCCAAACAGCACAAGTAGGTCATAGGTCCGATCCAACTAAGCAGGCGGCTGGAATCTTAGTGAAGAACAAAATCGGACACTCATACTTGGGTGCTGGTCCTTTGTCATGTATTGTGCTTACAAAACGTTTGATCGACTATGAGCTAAAACCGGAACCGGAATCGGACAGACCGCTGACGTTTTTCCTGCAAGGTCGTGCCGTTACTGCATAATGGGACGTCCGCTCCATAATGTGTTAGCGTGCCCTGGGGCGATGAAATGGTCAGCCCGAAATGATGGTCTGGCTTCATCTGAGGTCATTTCCGTGGTCAATGAAACATGGTTTGTGATTTTTCAATGATGTGACGGTCCCACACAGCCGTATTGGTTGTGCTTTTGGTTCGGATAGAGTAGAGACTAGAGATCATGGGCGCGAAAGATGCACTCTGCACAGCGCACATCGTAAAACCGCAGACAAGCGTTGTTAATCGGATAGGCAAGCAATGTGGCAGGCATGTGCTCTAAATACCTAAAAGTTATGGTGTTGATGCTTACATTATATAAATCGAAACGTTCAGAAGTGAGGCTTCTCAGGGCGAACACAACATTCAGCTTGCCCGCTCATAGGTGTGCGAGCATTGGCATTCATCTATGACTTTTGCAAGCGTGAAAAAACGCTTATGATGCTGATTGCTGACATGATAGCGGAGACTGGAAAGCTGCATTTTCCGGTGAAACTGGATACCATTATTACCGTGCTGCGTTGTCACTGTAACTAAAAGGTGCCAGCAGTGTTGCTCTCGATAATCGTTTCGTGGTTCGACCGTCGTTAGTGATCGTTAAACGCAGCCCTTGTCGGCTGATGGCCAGAGGAAATCCCCGTCATCAGGAAGTCACGCGGACGCTATGTCCCAGTGGCACGCGAGTCGCGCGCGTGTTGCCGGTACTGGCACCAGCGCCAGTTCGATTGTGGTTTAGCGTGTACGGCGCGGATGCACCCCGCCCTGTGTTAGGGCAACGGGAACAAAACTTCGTAGTTGTTACGAACTGGCGAGTGGCGATTCTGTATAAATGCGAGGCCAAACATACTGTATTCTCTCCTTCTCTCAAAATGCGACATACTCGGTTGTGTCGTGTTCCCTATAGCATGCTATGAGATGCATCTTTTCGTGGTCTCGAAGCTGTAGGTAGGAACGTGCTTCATTCCGGAAACTTGTAAACTTTGCTTCTAGAGGATAGCCTTAAGCGCTGATGGCCACTGTAGTCCGGGTGCCCAAAAACCCCAATTCATCATCATCATAGCCTTAAAGCCCACATAAAACTTTGTTTTCACGTTTGGCACAAATTGACCGTCGTTTATTAGCAAACTCAATACAGACACGTTTATGAAATGCGCACAATGTTACTGCGGTCAATACATCAATGGACAGTTTTGATTTCATTCACTCTTGCAGGCAGCCACATAACAACAGAACAAACAACATCTCGCTCAGTCATACAACCGGAGGTGATAAAATATCAAAAATGCCACAAACCTCAAAGCTGTCGAGTTCAAAGCCACAAATATCAACGAATATCTTTCGCACCGCTCGACAACTTTTCGAATGTTCGTAGCAAAGCTTCACCATCATTCGGCGGTGGTAAAATGGTGCGTAACGTTTGGCATATGTGACCGCGGAGGGTCACACACTGGTCACACAGGTCACTGACGGGTCACGCCGGTCACACACGGGCGTGACCAGCCATTATACCCTATATCACATGAAGACACGAGCGGTGCCGAGCGGGGCGACAGACGCGTCACTGCCGCGCGGTCGCTGTCGCCACGGCCCACCGCGCGCGATGGCATGGGTGATGAACACTACACGCGCTCGGAGAGTGGTGCCTAGAGGCGCAGTTCGCTCTCCGAGCTGGACGAGGCGCCGGCGAGCAGGTGCGGCCGCCGGTGCGCCGCCGACGGGGGCACGTGCGCTACGTGACGCGACAGCGACGGTGACCGGGTGGCCAGCGGGCTGAGCGCCGGCGAGAAGGACGGCGACATGGCCGGCGCCGCGAACACGTCGTGCGCGATCGGTGAGCGCGCGAGCGACGGCGGAGCGCCCGGGCCGAGACCGGAGCGCGGCACCACGGGCGCCGCCACCGAGCGCGGCGCTACGTTGGTGAGCAGCGGCGGCGGCTTGGCCGCGCTCACCGCGTACGGGCTGGGCGCGCTGTCGTCCTTGAGCCGCGCGATCTCGGAGAAGACGTGCGCCAGCGGCTGGTACTGCGGCCCCCAGTTGAGCAGGTAGTCCCAGTTGTAGCTGCCCGTCAGCTCCTCCTCGCTGTGCACGATCGAGCTCAGCGAGCCCGTCATCGACGGCTGCGTCTCGTCCAGGCCGAACGCGCGCGTGCCGTCCATGATGGCCTCGTTCTCCTCTGCCCCCACCGCGGTCAGTTTGGAGGACAGCAGCTCGCCGAGCCGCGCGGCGCCGTCCGCGGACCCGCCGCCGTCCAGCACGTGCGCACTGTCGGCGCGCGCGCTCTGTGAGTGCGAGTCATCGCGCGACGTGTCGATACCCAACCTGGCCAGATACTCCTGCGTGTTGTGCGCCGACATCTCCGACAGCGAGTCCTCGTCGGGCACGGCCAGCTGGCGCAGCTTCTGCTGCATCAGCGGCCCCTCGTTGATCATCCTGATCTCCTCGTCCTCGTCACCGTCCTCCGCCGAGCCGCGCCCGGAGGAGGCCGACCGGTGCGACTGCTCCGAGAGCTCAGAGTGCGTGTTGCGGCCGGCCGGGCGCGGCTCGGCTGTCGCGCCGCCGCCGCCGCCGTACGGATGCACGATCTCACTGTACCGCGGCGGGAACTGGAGACCGGCGGCAGGCCCGGCGCGCACCTCAGTGTCAAACGACGTGTCGAACTGGTCGGCCATCGTTGGCTTCCCGACGCGTCGGTTACGCATGTGCAGGAACACAAACGCGGCGCCGAACGCCATCACGATGAGGATGATGGCCACCAGAAGGCCGACGCCCCAAGAGGCGAGCCCGCCGCCGGCAGCGGCCGGCAGACCGGTCCCGTTCAGTGACGGATCCAGCACCACCTCTACGCCAGTCAGAGCACTCAAACTTCCCGGCCGGCCGCTAGAGGCCACTATCTCCAGCCGCTCGCTGGTGGTGGCTGGCGGCTCGGCCTCGCGTCGCGCCCGTCTCCGCTCGCCCAGACTGCGCGTCACCACGATCTCACCACTGGTCCGGTTCACGCGGAAGAACTGGTGCGGCTCGCGCAGTCGGTACACCACCTGTCCGTCGGCGCCGCGGTCGCGGTCGGTGGCCACCACCCGACCCACCACGTATCCGGGCGGGCCGTCGGCAGGCGTGCGGAACTGGTACTGCTTCTCGGTGAACTCCGGAGCGAACTCGTCCACTCCTCGCACCGCCACCCGCACGGTCGCCGTGGCGGTCCTTCCGCCGGGGTCTGCCGCGCTGATGGTGAACGTGTACAGCTCCCTCTGCTCGTAGTCGAACACGGCCGCCGTGGTGACCTGCCCGGTGAGTGCGTCCACCTGGAACCGGTCTCCGCCATCCGTCAGGGTGTAGTTTAGCCGCCCGAAGCGGCCGCGGTCGGCGTCGTTGGCGTGTGCCGTGAACACCAGCTGGCCGGCCGGCGCGTTCTCCACAGCGAACGCGTGGTACACGGGCTGCGGGAAGCGTGGCGCGTTGTCGTTCTCGTCGCTAACTCGGATGTGGACGGCGGCTAGCGCTGAGAGCGGCCGGGCGGGGTCGCGGTCCGTAGCGCGCACCACCAGACGGTACTCGGAGAGCCTGTCGAAGTCGAGTCGCTGTCGGAGTCGCACCACGCCCGTATCGCCGTCGAGCGCGAACGCCTGCTGCTCGTTGCCGGAAGTGATGTCGTACACGACGGCAGAGTTTTCGCCGGCGTCCCGGTCGGTGGCGAACACTCGGAGCACTTCGGCGCCCACCTGTGCGGTGAGAGAGACGGCGTCAGCGTAGGCCTAAGGGCAGTGGGGTGAACCTGTCCGAATTCTCAAGACTGGTATAGTGGGAAAAGGTTATTTCGTCGTGGGTGAAGTCGTGACAACGAAGTACATTTGCGATAGGTGTCTAAAGAAGACATTTGATATACGGAATCAGACTTAATTTGCAATCGGTGGGTCCATGCATTTTAAAAATTGAAGGAAAACAGCGCATTCCACCCGCCAACTGCTTGCCTCTGTGTACCTCCCATTGACTCTCTGGGCATCACCGCCTCACCTGCGTCTGTTCGCTGATGACGGCCGTGTACTCGGTCTGGTTGAACTGCGGCTGGTGGTCGTTGACGTCCGTCACGTCGATGACAATCTGCGCCGTGGTGTTGCGCGCCGGCGTGCCCCGGTCGCTGGCAGCCGCGTCCAGCACGTAGCGCGCGCGCTGCTCACGGTCCAGCGGGCGCACCAGCAGCAGCTCGCCGGTCGTACTACGCGGCAGAGTGGACGATTTGGGGTTAGTGTTGACAGCCTTTGGGGCTGGTTCGCACGCTGTTTGTGAGTTTTTTTGTTATGGTGCAGGTGGTAGATAATGAGAATGGATATGGACTTCTTATGGGACCATGGCACCGCGTGACGCTACTAGCTGCATTTGCCAAAACCCCTTTGATTCACACATTTTTAACCCACTGTAATAATGTCCTACAGTAACCTTTTCTTGTCACCCCCGTTAAGTGAACTCTATTCAGCAATTCTCTCAGCACTATGTCGCCGAGTAAGGCCCCTGCGTCTCCACGGACACTCACCTGGCGATCTGGAACATGCCGTCCTCGTTGCCGCTGACCAGGCTGTAGTCGATGTTACGGTTGTTGCGC